AGATTTGAAAGGCAACGAAATTTGGTTAAACCGGTTTGCCGCATTCTGTGGTTTATTTTTATTTTGATAAAGACATCCTTCACTTGATGGTAGTTTCATATTTATTTCGGCTAATTTTTCCACGAAATTCCGCTCAAAAGGACTCTTCGTTCGGAATTTGAAGCGCTTTGCCATTAGAGGAAGTTCTAAGAGTTCGCTGAGTAAATCTCGAAATAGAGTTTCGATTTTGTGTCCTAACCGTTTCTGCTGCTCGTAATACCATGTACTACATTACTTATAATCCCAAACTGGCGTGCTGTTATGACCTTACTTGTACTTACCCTTTTTTTACTGCTTTCTCATTTAAAAGCGTATTTTCAAATGCGTGGCAGTTCTTTCAAAGAGTAGTATCTCTCAGTTTATAATAGTTTAATAAATATTAATTTTTTCATTGTTATCACTTTTAGTTTCTTTTTAGATATTGTGTGCAATGTCGTCAACTAAGTTAGTAACAGTTTTACAACAACTCGCATTTACGCTGAGGATATTTGCTAGAAATAAAATCAAAAGTGATAATAATAGCCTTAGTAGTTTTGTTTGAGAAACTAAAGGGTTTGGGCCAAGCTTCGCATTCATTCACATTTCTTCTTCAAAATTTAATTTAATTTTTCGACAGAAGATATCACATTGTTTTAGTTTAACCAGTTATATGGTTAAATTACTGACAGGCTCAATTTCAAGTCCGCTTCTTCTAGCTGAAGTTAGCCTTAATGTTCCCTCCCGGGTATCAAGACACTTTTGTCCCCTATTTTTGAAAACTTGTAAAACTAATTTTAAATTACATGAGCGACTCCGTTGCTTTTGCCAGGATTTTAAATTCCATTCCAGCACATCTGATATATCAGATTCGCTTTTCACTATCCTCTCTCAATAAATTGACTAACATAAATGCATAATAATCAGCTGATGAATTTGGTTCTGTAGCTGAATACATAGTTTTAGATTTCGATACTTAACAAACTCCTGCCTTTCGTGACAACGCAAGAATTGAAAATAATGTTTGCGTACATCATGCGGACTGCGCCCCTCGTGCGGATGGGCGGCAGAGGTGGGTAATGGGTTGGGATTATTATTATTAACTTTATAGAACTTAACTATAGTTGCTATCCATAATATACATATTCATTTCAGTGGCGTTGCCCATCGGCAATTCAACTGCGGTTGCGTTGCCATCCATAATCAACTCGTAAATCTCATACAGCTCATCGTCCCATCGTCTGCGATACTCGCCGTTGCCAACGCTTAAAATCACGTAAATCTTCCGCAAAATACTTCTCTCGATTACTCCAAGCGGTGCAGCTCCTCATAAAATATTAATAGGCAAAGTTTGGCCAAACACTTAACCAAATAAATGGGCGCCAAATATCTTCATAATTATATACATCTTTAATTCTACGTACATTTTTTGTATTGTTTGCTTTGTTAATTGGCCTGTTGTGTAAATATCATAAAGATGACAAAAATATGTGCTTATAAAGTTAATTACTATAGCTCGCCTAAGGCACGTTCTAGACTTGACTTGTATAGACGCATATGTATACATATATATATATATATTTGTACATGCCACTCATTTACTGGAAGCATGTCATAACCAATAAAATCAAAAGATGCGAGTAAAACAGACAAAACACAACAAAAAAGAAGGGCTAGCAAACATTTCACCATTATTAACTAAAAAAAATTCTGTATATAAAACCAGTTTATTTACGAGGTTAAGGCAGTTACGAGGTACTTTCCACACAAAAATAAACCACCTTTGTCTGGCGAAAGCCGGACAGCTGCAGAGAAAATACTTTTCTCATCTCCCAAACAAGGTGTATACTGTGGATCCGGGCGGTACCTATAGTGACCGTATGCATGCATGCCGTCCCCATGGATTGTGTCCCGCAATTAGTCCCATCAGGGCTCGTAGCTCACTCCTCTATCTGGCCTATAGGTGTCAGTAATCATGAGATCCCTGATATACGCGGGAGATCCATCAATGCTTTTGCCTAAAATTGGCTTCGGTCCAATCGGATGACACAAGGAAGACCAATTCGCTCTTATAAGTCTTTATCATAAGTTGATTTTATCGAAACAAAATTAAATACTTCGTAGCGGTTTTGCTTATTGTGCGAGAATCGAGCTAGAGATCCTTTCTCCATACATTTTCTTTAAAGTTCATAAACTTCAAGATTTTCTCTTTGGCCATAAATTTGTCTAATGCGAAATGACTTCTCAAAATTAAGTAGGTTTACCATTACAGAACACAAAATTACGTGTTCAATACTGCCGTTATTATAGAAGTGCCGATGTATCTCACCAGTGTTAAATCGTAAATTGGTTTTCTGAAAAAGCATTAAAATCGATAATTATACAAATTGAGCCAGCAGCTAGATTACTTAAAATCCCGACGTTTATCTCTCGAGTTAAATTAATATTTGTCTTTTATTTTGTGGTTTCTATACGGCTACTAATGTCTAAGGTTCTTCCCTTTCAACTACATACACATATATACGGTTACTCCCAAAATTGAGCGCACGGCTCTTTTTTGTTAATATTCGCAATGTTTTACATGCTAAAATTTTTTTGTTAATTTTGTTTTGAAATATGGCTTATGTTTTAGCAAATCCCATTTAAATCCATGAATGATATTTTGTAAAAAAATTAAGAAAAATCTGCAAAGTTTCAACAAAATCACGCACTTTTTAATACGAATTTCTAAAAAGAATTCAGAAATGCAGTTTTATAACCCATTAAATTTTAGTATTATAATGTGCAAATTTCTGAAATGTCTGAAACATCGCGTTGATTTTAGATTTTTTTTTGTTATCATTTAAAAAAATTCTGAAAATTATCACAAAAAATGTTTAGCATGTAAAACTTGTGAATATAAACAAAAAAGAACCGTAGGTACGCTCAATTTTATGAGTAACTGTATGTATACTAAGATATCACCTGTAGATCACAAGATCACCTAGCAGTATTTACACACCAGCACAAATGTAAATAATTACTATGCAAATTAGTGCATTTCTATTAAAAATATCATAAACAAAAACTAGAAAATGCGGTTACATTATTACACATTATTTTATTTTATTTTTTTTTTCAAAGATGCCGCAGTGTTTTCTCGCGCCGAGTATAAAATAACAATACACGAAAAAAATATGTTCTTACAGCAGTACTCATATCAGCAGCCAACTGACGGCA